GTTAAAAGATTAGAGCAATGTGACAAACCACTGGCATTCGGTAAGCTTCGATTACACCATTCTGACACTAGATTGATAATAAATGAGTCCATGGTATAGTGGATTGTTAGTACTATTCAGCTCCTTCTCTACAAATCGAATTGCTGCAGTTTTAATAGGCTCGATGAGAGTCGACCACGTTCCTCCCCCGTCCTCCACGCCAATGCAACATTGCAGAGGAACGGATGTTTGCAACCGCTGGAATGTGGTTTCCATCAATCCTATGGCATTTCTGGATCGCTTATTTTCATAGAGCTCATGGTGCGGCTCTGAACCTGTTCCTTTGCAAGCATATAGAAATACTTTATTTCAAAGAAAAATTTGCAGTTTCTGGCAGGAAGAACGTGTAGCCTTACGTTTTCTCTGCCAAAAAGTGACATTCGGTTATCCCTGACAAAAGGATAAAACTAGAGACTTCTGATCAGGTGATAGAACAGAGTATCTCCTCTTGATTATGAGTCCAAAGTCACAGGTAATAGTTTTCGAGAGAGATTAACGCCTAATTTGCATCCCCTATCGTGAGGAACTACCATTCAAAACAGTTAATGGTGGTGTGTCCTTACTAAACCTTATTCATTTATAATATTGTCATCAACTGTTTTTTGCCACGTTTGCATAGGTGCATTGTGCTTTACCATTCCATTTGCAGCCGAGAAATGCACATTACGCTGCTTCATTTATCCATCAACCATGTGCTCATTTTAAAAACAAGCTGATGGTCCTTCAATACTCTCTATTTCTGCTTACTGTCTCCACCGCTGCCAAGGAATTTGACCATAAGATCATCCCGACGTCATTTTGGACGACCCAATCGACATTGATCACCCGGCGGAACGTAGTTTGTAATTCTTTACATCCACCAGTTGTCTCTCAAGTGAGCAATATAGCCGGTTCATCTAGTCTTGGCGTGGTGGTTAACAGAATCGCGTCTGTTGATCCAGTATGTCGTCGAATTTGTGCGTTTGGAACGAGATCCTGAGAGAGACACTGTACGTTCTTCTGTCCATCGCTCTTTGCGTGGCCATCGGTTTGTTTTCCTCAGCTTTGGTAGCAGACAAACCACCATTCACTTCCTTAGTCATTGCGGGTAGGGTGGCTAAGTGAAACAGTTCTTTCTTCGCCTGCATTGCCACCTCGCTGCTGAGTAATGATGTTTCCATACGACTAGGGCTTGGTCATGCAACCTTATTTCTTCTGCAAATCTCCTGATCTAACGAGTTCATGCGGTTAATATGGTGGTGAGGAAGATATAGTTGGTGATTATTTCGAGGCCTAAACATTTCGCATAGACGCCACTCTCAAGATATTGCTTGCTTCGCATCGAGTTCGTCATGAACAGTGGTCGGCGAACGGGTAATTTACATGAAAATGAAATGATGTAAAAATGAAATTCTTGGGATAATGAGGACTTAATAAACATAAATAAATTATATAAAACGCGCGTTTTTTAAGAAAAATTCTTCTTCTGTCAACACTACATCTGACCAGTAAAATAGACGTGTTTAGGAGACATCAGCCATGTTGAACTCGAAACAATTTGGTTGCCAGGACGTTGTCAAGTGGTTAAACAGATATTATTTGTCAGCTGTCTATTACCCGCCTTAACTTAATTTTCGACATGTGTTTTT